TCTCTTCTTTCAGCTTTGCACTGAGGTTTCAGATGTTCTTCAGCATTCTTTACGGGAAGCCTGAGCTGCTTGGGACAGGAAGCATTACAGAGGCGTGGTGAAATAGTCTTAGAAGCATTTCTCTCCAGGGTTAAGTGACATTTCTGAGAAACATACAGGAGCTAAAATGAGGTTAAGGTGATTAAAAGAAAACAGTTTTCTGTTTTGAATATGATATTAAATGAATATAAAATGTAATACCACAGAATTCTTTCACCTTCTGACATTTGTAGACTTCATAAAAATGTAGATTATTCAACTGCTCTAAATAATACCTGAGCCAAATAAATAATTTGAAACTCCCCCATGTATCTGCAGGATAAGCAGGTGTAGCCAAGTCCAGGAGAACTGATTTGATTACTCCATACCGAGTCCTAGTTCTTGATGACTTGTCCGGTTTCTGTGGATTGCAGGTGTGGCAGTGGGGCTCCCTCAATGCTCCCTGTGATGCTTAGTGCGCTCCTGAGCACCTCCAAGATGCTGCTGGAACCTGTTCCACAGGCAGCATCAATAGAGAAGTGGTGGGAGTAGATTTTCTGTCTCACTGTATGAGGAACAAGGCAGTGTTCAGCTTCCAATGGCTGAGATGTTCCCTGTCTGGTCCTCTGCAGAAGGTTGGCCCCTGCCCTGGCAAATGAAGGGAGTGTGGCTGCAGACCCCTTGTATTCTCAGCCCCAAGGTGTGGTACCTGGGCTACCGGAATGGGAAGGAGGATCAGGAGCTTTCCAGGGGACCCTCAGGGGCAAAGGGCACAGAAGGGGCTTCAAAAAGTTCATGGAAAATGTGTATAATGAAGAAGACCTAAATGAAAGATTTCTGCAAGTGAGATCCCAGTAGAAAGAAGAAAGAATGGGCCATCAAAGAAGGAGGTACCTTTCTCTGAAGGGAGGAGAGAACTTCCACTTTGGCTATGACCCTGTCTGAATAAGATCGAAGTCGGCGAATCCAAAAGGCTTCCATAGCCTTGGCAACTCATGACTAGAGCCTAGGGAGATTACTGATGCCATAAACAAGAGTGTCAAATTGTTAAGTCAACAACAGGAGTCACTGTGCACTTACTCCTCATGTGGGATCTGTCCTTAATGTGTTGTCCAGTGTGAAGTAATGCTATAACTGGTACTGAAACAGTATTTTACACTTTGCGTTTCTGTGTGGGTGCAAACTGATGAAATCTTTACTTAATATATACTAAATCGATCTTCTGTATATAAAGATAATTGAAAATGAATCTTGATGTGAATGGAATGGGAGAGGGAGCGGGAGATGGGAGGGGTGCGAATGGGAGGGAAGTTATTGGGGGGAAGCCATTGTAATCCATTAACTGTACTTTGGAAATTTATATTTACTAAATAAAAGTAAAAAAAAGGAAAAAAAGAAAAACTTGCACGGTTCTCAAAAATTTTCTGTCATAAAAACCGACTTATCATTGAATTCCATCTTCCACAAACTTGTAATGTTTATTTATTTTACATATTTGAAATACAGAGAGCTCCTATGTGTTGGTTCACACCCCAAATACCTGTAACAGCTAGGGCTGGGCTGTGTCAAAGCCAGTCCAGAGCTCCACCCAGGTCCATACCCCAAATACCTGCAACTGCCAGTGCTGGGCCATGACAAATCCAGCCCAGAACTACATCCAGGTTTCTCAGGTGGGTGGCAGGGTTGTAACCACTGAGCCATCCCCTGCAGCCCCCGAGGCTGTGCATTGGCAGGAAGCTGGGACTGGGAGAACAGTGGGTGCTCTGACATGATAGATGGATATCCCAAACCTGCCCTGTCTGTGGTAGCCTTGGGTTATTCCCTTCCGCTCATGTGCGCTCTGGTCCTCCCAACAGGAGAACACAGCCAACACTTACCCCTTGCACTCAGGAAGAGCTTTGTCCAGACACCTGCAGGTATAGTGGCTCCTGGCATCTCTGCTTCCCCTGCTGGGTCTTTGGCATGGCTGATGCAGGCGTCAGGGTCTCCAGCCACTGCCAAGAAGGCAGCAGGTGCACTTGTGAAGAGGCTGGAAGCTGGTGGGGATGACTTGGCCTCCACAAGTGCTAGGGCCAGGACAGGACAGGACCATGCAGACTGACATCCTCCTTCCTCATGTCCTCAGACCTGGCCAGATTACCAGCAGAGGTGGAGACCTGAGGTCACATCATGAAGCTGCTTTTTTTTTTTGTTTATTACGTTTTGGTTTGTTTTTGTTTTTTGACAGGCAGAGTGGACAGTGAGAGAGAGAGACAGAGAGAAAGGTCTTCCTTTGCCGTTGGTTCACCCTCCAATGGCCGCCGCGGCTGGCGCGCTGCGGCCGGCGCACCGCGCTGATCCGATGGCAGGAGCCAGGAGCCAGGTGCTTTTCCTGGTCTCCCATGGGGTGCAGGGCCCAAACACCTGGGCCATCCTCCACTGCACTCCCTGGCCACAGCAGAGGGCTGGCCTGGAAGAGGGGCAACCGGGACAGAATCCGGCGCCCCGACCGGGACTAGAACCCGGTGTGCCGGCGCCGCTAGGCGGAGGATTAGCCTAGTGAGCCGCGGCGCCGGCCCTGAAGCCTGTTTTTAGGTACTCTGTGTAATTAATACACTGTTTATCCCCAAACAATTATACCTGTTTTTCATGTTTCATTTTTCTTCTATTAAACAGCATAACTCAGACATTGTTCACATGATTATGTAATAAATGATGTTAGAAAATTCTGGGACCACAAAAACTTTAAAATTAAATTTTATTTTTAGTTGGTTTTTAGCAGATTCACTATAGTTCATAGATACAGCTATTTTTTTTTAAATATGTATTTATTTCAAAGGTAGAATTACAGAGAGGCAGAGGCAGAGAGAGAAGAAAGAGAGAGGTCTTCCATTTGATTGTTCTCTCCCTAATGGCCAGAGTTAAGCTGATCTGAAGCCAGGAGCCAGAAGCTTCTTCCAGGTCTCCCACATGGATGCAGGGCCCAAGGACTTGGGCCATCCTCTACTGCTTTACCAGAAAGCTGAGTCAGAAGTGGAGCAGCCAGGACTCGAACTGGTGGCCATATGGGATGCTGGCACTATAGGCGGTGGTTTTACCAGCTATGCCATATAGCACTGGCCCTGATATTTCTTAGAATGGTATCTGCTCCCCTCCCACCCCCCACCCACCATTCCTTCTGTTTCCTCTGTTCCTCTGCTGGTACTGCAGAGCATCAGGGAGAATCTGAATTTTTGATATTTGAAGAAAGCTTGGGATAAGAGGAGTCTAAGGTGTGATTGTTGCTTAAAGCAAAGAGCCACTCAGTAAATAAATCATGGTTGTCACATCCAATTATTGCACATCTGCGGTGACGAGGTCTGCCGGCTGGGTTCTGTTATGGGTTTGCATCAGACCAGACTCTCAGCGTCCCAGAAGCAGGAGAAGAGAAATGGGGAGAAGCAGGTGGGTGCTCTGTGGCTCAGCCACCTCCACCTGGGGTCAGGATGAGCACAGGTGCACCCACCCACTGAGGTTGCACATCTCACCTGTGAAACATCAGTGGGCCTGTAAGCAGTAAAGATGGGGTACCATTGTGAGAGGGAAGGACTCTCCATGGAGGCACTGGTGAACCCGAGTGTGTTTGGGGGCCAGCACCCCTCACCAACACTGGAGGTTAAGTAGACTTGTCCCCATCACGAACCAGAGATGGTGGGTCTTGTTCTGTAGGTGAAGGGTCAGGGGCACCTCCACTTGGTTGGTGCTAGTGACAGGTGGTGTGCATGGAGCCCAAGAAAGCAGAGTCAGACAGGAGGAGGCTGTGGTGCAGTAACAGGTGTGATGTGCCAGCCTTCGGGGAGACCCTGGGGGAGAGAGTGGCCCACAGAACTCAGGACCTCCCCCCAGTGGCAGCAGCACCAGTTTAGAGAACTGCACCTGACCTCTTATTGGGTGTTGGTGAAGCACCGATGAGCGAGGTCAGTTCTCACTGTGATATGTTCAGAGGATAGCGCCTAGATCCCACTGTGGGGTTTGGAGGCAGGGCCTTTGAGAGGGGAACAGAACTGGGCAATGTCCCCAGGCTGTGGAGCCAGGACTGAGCCCTACTGGCTCTGGGATTTGAAGCCTGCCATGAGTGATGCATGCTGCTCTGGGGGCTGCCCGTGAGCCTCCAGAACCATGGTCCAACCTCACATGTTCCATTGTGGTAACAAATATGACATTGGGCTTTTGTCCCTGGAACTTCCCAGCTCAGGAACTGACAAGGGGGAGACTTGGGGAGAAGTGATGGGAGGGTCGGGTGGCCAGGGCGAGCCCCAGCTCCCAGCTCCCAGCTCCCAGCTCCCAGCTCCCAGCTCCCAGCTCCCAGCTCCCGAGGCCGGGGTGAGTCCCTCATATTAGTGAGTGGTTGGAGAGAGGATGTGTGGGCATCAGCAGCCGGGTCACTTAGTCAAGTTTTTCAAGAGGCAGTTGACGTCGTGGTTGAAAAAAATGACCCAACAGCACAGTTCTGCTGACCCTGTCTGTGACCCAGATTGTGAAGCTCTTTATCTTTCTGTGCTCCTGGCAGCTGTTAATTAGAAGGGGGTGGGGAGGAGCAGGCAGCTTCCCGGAGTCTTTCTGCGTGTCCTGATCTCCCCAGGCAGGGGCCATGAGACCCACACAGGGGACACTGGATTGTGAGCAGAGTCTGTGGACAATCAATAAATGAATACATGCTCCAATTAAAGACATTTTTGCAATATTTTGAATTATTTAAAAACACCTCCTGCACTTTGCTGTCTAGGGAGTGTCCAGCACCTGTACCTCTTAGACCTGGGCTGTAAGTTCATGAGCCCTCATCTGGGGCAGATACCCTCCCACTGCTGCCTTGGCACTGTCTGGTTTGCTCTGTGAATCTGTGTCACCTACAGTGAAAAGGTGGGAAAGCAAAACACTCTGGGTGCTGCCCTGTGGAGTGGGTGCCCCTCTGGCCAGGCTGAGTCTCTCACCTGTGCCTCTCCTGTCCCTCTGTTTCCCCACAGAGCCAAGGTGAGGAAGGGGGTGCAGATCCTGAGTACCCAGACCAGCGAGCGCTGGCACAGGCAACAGGAGGTAGGCAGTGCCACCACCACTGTGTCCTGCCAGTGCCTGGCACAGGTAGCATTCAACAGGTAAGCTGTCTCCCTGTCCCACAGGCCAGAGCACTGCCTGGGGCCCAACCTGGGCCATAAATCCCTATCCCAGAGGCCTGGAGGCACCGGCACCGGGCTTAGAGGCAGAGTGTCCCACCCCCAGATGCCACCTCAGTGCTCTGCCCTCCATAGTTGATCTGAGGCCAGGTGCCTGCACAGGGCTGTTTTGCATATGTGTTAGAGTGAGCCCTCAGACTGTCACACCCAAGAAGCTGCCAGGTGAGTCTTCTGAGACACCCTGTGCTGTGATCTAAAACAGCTGTTTTCTCATCAGAAAAGCAGCACAGACTCATTTTAAGCTATTTGGAAAAGCACAGTTATTTGAAAAACATGACCTTAAATCCTGTACCAATGCCCTAGTGCCCAAGAACAACCCTCTGGCTAGCCTGTGCATCATTTCCTCCTGGGGCTCCATGCATCTGCTCACTCCTGTAGTAGAATTACTCACATCACAGTATGCATGCAGATTTATGAGGTGCTTTGCTGTTTGTGTTGGAAACATTTTCTCTGATATTAAGCGTTCTTCAAAAACATTTCTAATTGCATCACAGCATCCTGCCGTGTGGAGTTAGCATAGTGTAAATAGTCGGGCCACCTTCCTGCATATTGGGTTCTTCCTCAGCTTTATTCTTAACCAGCAAAGCCCCTTCCACATCCATGTCTGTCAGCTTCTCCTTTTCCTTGAGGTGACCTCTCAAAGTCAAGACGCGTTACCATTTTCAGGGCCTTGTACACAATTTCTCAGTGCTTTCTGAAGGGGATCGGTGGGCAGGAAACAAATCTTCCACTGTTGGACATGTTTTCCTATGTGTGTATTGCAAAGTTTGCCTCAGAGAAAAGCAAATTCTTCCCTCGCATTTTATTTCGAATTCCCTGTTCTTTGAACATCAGAACTGTCGCTCCCCGTCTTCGTGGAGGAACGACACTAAACCCTGCCTAGGCTTCATATCCGAGTCACGGCACCATTATGTCGCTCCCCCTCTTCGTGGAGGAACGACACTAAGCCCTGCCTAGGCTTCATAGCCGAGTCACGGCACCATTATGTCGCTCCCCCTCTTCATGGAGGAACGACACTAAGTCCTGCCTAGGCTTCATATCCGAGTCACGGCACCATTATGTCGCTCCCCCTCTTCGTGGAGGAGCAACACAGGACCCTGCGCTGTTCTTTCGTCTGCTCGGCCCTCCCCGGGTTTGCTGCTGGTTCTTCCCGGGTTGGCTACTATCCCTTCCACCTCCGTGGAAGGGCAGTTCCCCCTGGCCACATTCCCCACTTCCGCAGGGGAGCGGCACACCGCCGGCCGGCTTTCTCGGGGGCTGCACAGGTATTCCCTCAGATGTTCCCCTTAGATGTACCTCGTGCATGCCGTCTCTCTCTTCCTTTATAGTCCTCCTCCGCCAATCCCAACTCGGCTGCCCACACGCCGAGTACGCTGCTCTCCAATCAGGAGCAAGTCCTACAGTTTATTGGTTGAACTGGAGGCAGCTGTGCGGAAGCTGTTTACTTCTCTCCCAGCGCCATACCGTGGGAGAGCAGATGCATAGAATAAGTCTTAATTCCAGTAACTCAGTCCAGTCCGGGCTGCTCCCCACAAGAACCATGCCACCCTCGGGCCTTGCTTTCCTGTGAAGGCAGAAAAGCACCTGGTGCCCTGAGCAGCTGGCTGGCTCGGTACCCCAGGCACATCCTGGTGGGGTCAGGGTCAGGGGTAGGAGGTCGCATCTTTGAATGAAAGATTTGTGAAAGAGGTGGAAAGAAAGGCCAGGAAGAAGTGTGCATGGGGTCCCTCTTGCACAGGGGAGATCCAGGGCCATGTTCAGTCTCCTCAATCAAATGCACAAGTCTGATTAACACATGATATGAGCGCTGATTATGCAAATAGGAGTAAATGGCTAATGAACAGTGAGTTATTTTGTGTAAAGGGTCCTTGGTCAGACGCATGGCTAGACTTAGTGTGGGGACATGAGTAGGGCTCTGAGCCTCTCTCTGTTGTGATCCTGTTTCCAAGGCTCCTGGAACTTCCTATTGATCCTAGTCCAGTCTGCCGAGGCGGGAGCTGATACTCACATTGCTGTGGACCAGCTGCTATGATCCTCTCTGGATAGGGTGCCCGGGGTCAAGTTCCAGACTTGTCTATGCCCTGGGTTAGACCCGTGCTGACCCAAGCCAGGGGCTGGGCCTGCACTCAGAGAGCCGTTCTGGGGGAGTGGTATCCTTGGAGTGCACAAATCAGCTCCTAGGAGCCTGAACTGCCCTGGACAAGCTGGTGTCTCCCAGTGCCTGGAATTGTACCATAATATCAGGGAATTGGTAGACCTGTGTGGCTAGGGAGTCACACCTGACAGGGGTGCCCTCACTCCGCCCCATCACCAGCACACACCTGACGGGGTGCCCTCACTCACCCTGCTCACCAGCACACACCTGACAGGGGTGCCCTCACTCACCCTGCTCACCAGCACACACCTGACAGGGGTGCCCTCACCCTGCTCACTAGCACACACCTGACAGGGGAGCCCTCACTCAGCCCACTCACCAGCACACACCTGACAGGGGTGCCCTCACTCACCCTGCTCACCAGCACACACTTGACAGGGGTGCCCTCACTAGGCCCACTCACCAGCATTCATCTGATAGGTGTGCCTTCATTTGTCTGCTTTCTCACTTGGCACCTTGGGGAATATGGTGAAGCCAGGTGGAAGTCCCTTGAATCAGATGCAGAGCCCCCGAGGCAGTCTGACAGTGACTCCTTACCCACAAGACAGGGACAGTAGGATGGTCCCCCATCTCCACCTGGACAGCAGAGGCCAAATGGCCTTGCCACCTGCTGGTGTGCAACAGAGGCCCCTGGGGATCCCGTCCATCCTCATGGCTTGGCTTGGGGCCTGTCATGAGGCAAGATCCACAGTTTCACCAGAAGGCTCGGCCGGGGGATTCTGTTCCTGGGGGACTTGTGGGCTGGGGGCCCCGGTTCCTCGCCAAGCGCCTGAGAAGAGCCGGGGAGATACAGTACCTCGTTTCTTATCTTGCAGTGGCATCACGTACTTGCTGTGTCCCATGACTTGGAAGCCAGTCTCTAAGCAGGGGCCACCCACAAGCAGCTGACCCGACCTCAGGCTGTGAGCCCGGGAGGTGGGGCCTCCCTAGCTCCCCTGCCAGCTGCTGCACACTGGACAGGTCTTCCATGGATGTTCCCTCTGGTCACCCCTGAAGGACAGAAACAAAAAGGATGCATGGGGGACACAGAAAAAGGTGCTGCTGCAGGCAGGGAATGGGGAGGGGTGTGAAGGGAACCCAGGGAGGGGCATCCAGACTGGCTTTTCCCTCTTTGTCACCTGTCCCATGTGGCTGACAGGGAACCTGCATCCCTATGCATCCCAGTGCATCCCAGCAGTCATCCTTAGGTGAACTGGCTTGTGTACCCAGAAGATGAACGTATGCAGAGGATATTCCTGGAAGGAATGTGGAGTCACTTGGGAAAATGGTCAAGACAGGAAATCCCAGCAACAGCTGGCACCTCATCAGTGTCACTCCTTCTGTTCTACATGGACCACTGCTGCCCTGAGATAAGTTTTTGTTTAGCCAGTTAACTTAGAGACAGATGGTGTGTGTGTGTTTGTGTGTGTGTGTGTGTGTGTGTGTGGAGAGAGAGGCAGGAATTTCATCTGCTAAATTCTTATAATGGCCAACGCTGTGCCAGGCCAAAGCCAGGAGCCTGGAATTCACCCCAGCCTCCCATTGTGCCACAGGTGTGCACATAGGGAAGTTGGAATCTCTAACAGAGCCAGGACTGAAACCCAGGCACTCCTACATGGGATGCAGGTGTCAGCTGTGCCCAATCCACTTAGATTGCAGTGCTATTTAAGTCACCTTTGTTCTTAGTAATGATAGCTTTAATATTACACACACATGGCACCTTTGTGATGTTCTAATGTACGTAACAAGGAGTAAGGAAGTGCGAGGATTGTTCTAAGTGGTTATCCACGGTTCCACCAGGAGCACTTGGGGAAGCAGAGCATGCAGCATGCAGGTGGAGAAGGGAGGGGCTCTGATGCTGTGGGAAGCCTCTGCCCCAGTTACACACGCTGCACACCTGCACTTGCCCCCAGCCGTGTGCTCCCCCTGTGACTTCCGCAGACTCAGGGGCTCAGAGTCACACTGATGTGCCATTTCAGTCCTGGAGGGCGGAAGCCGGCGTGGGCTTTGTGGAACTCAGTGCAGGTGAGGGCAGGGCCACATTCCTGGTGGAGCTCCAGGGCAAGCTCCGTCCTCTGGCTGTCTGGAGGCTCCCCTTCTCCCGGCTGGGAGCCCTGTTTCTGTCCTCGGTGCCAGCCCAGGGAGTGAGCTCTGTGCTGTGTTGCATCCCCCATCTCTGCCTCCATCACCACATCCCTTCCGACTCCTCTACCTCTCGCCTGCTCTGATACGGGGCCCACCTGCATTGTTCATGACCAGCAGCCACCCCGAAACCCTACGGCAAGCACACAGGCAACGTCTCCGAGCCTCGTAAGGCACCTTCTCAAGTTCTGGATCTGGGTGTGAACAGGCTTATCTGCAGTGCTCTTCTGGTATCACTGTACCTGGGAAGTCCACTCAGTCCTGAGTCCTTAAAGCTGGGCTGGGCTTCCCTGGGGCCCTGGGCTCAGCCCAGGGACTGCAGTGCTTGATGTTCCCACCCTGGGAGGTGTCCTGGTGGAGGAGGCCTGGTCCATACAGTGCCATTGTGAGTCGTGCAGTCCCTGCACAGCCCCCCTTAGAGAATGCGCAGGGGCATTCAATCCCACAGGAGTGGGCTGGTTCCATCAGTTATCTGAAGGCCCCATTGGCACCAAGCTTCCCTAATTCCATGATTGGTGACTGCCTGAAGGGGCCTTCCAGCAGAACTGTGGAGCCCCTGCCAGCTGTGACTGCATTCAGAGGGGCCGAGAGCAGTGTCTTCCCACCATATGCTCCTGCAGTGACCCTCAGGAACTCCTGCACTCAG